CCAAGTGGAGTCCTGAGTCTGTGGCACTATGTCCCATGTCAAGTCCCAAGTCACCAAGGCTTCCTAGTTGAGTGGCGAGTCAAGTCACTTTATGTATCAAGTCATTTGCACATTGTGCATAAGGCAGTCTTATGAAATAAATTAGTTAGTCTTGTTATTAACCCCCCCCCCTCCTCCCCCTTAGACCCACTGCCTACCCAAAAGCATGTCGTAAGAGTCGACTAATTGGGAGCTTCCTTTGAAGTCGGAGTGCATCACAAGTGAGTCAGATAAGTAAAACGGATGCACAAGCAACCCTCAGGTTTTGGAACAGGACTGCAATCCAGAAGTGGATGAACAACCAGAACTTTTCGCCAGAGTTTACAGCTGGTGACCGCGATTAAGAAGAAGAAGAACCCCCCCCCCCCCCACTCCCCAACAACAACAGAAGCAACCCTACTGTTAAATTACTCAGAAACGAACTGCCTTTCACATTTGCCTTTAGGATGTCGACTAGCTACCAAGAAAATGGCTAATAGTTTCTTGCCAGAGGAAACATCCGACAGGGTCAGTTGGTTTCCTTTGAGTGCTTCGGCATTAGCTTTCTTGAAGTGTTCAAATTAGGTTAGGGGCATGTTTCTAGGTGCCATGAAAAATGTCAAGGTGTTTGTATACCCTCTGTAGAAACCGTGATGCAAAACGTGCATCGCGCACATTTAGTTTTGTCCGATTTCTTCTTATTCCGATCATAGCAAAAGTTCGAAACTGATACCACACTGAAAATTTTTTTATATTTACTAGAATACATGTAAAGAGCAATCAAAATTTGCAAAAATACAAAAACGGAAATGACCAGGCGAAAAAACGGCAGCATTCACGAAAGCGCAAGAAACATACAATCATAACATCAGACAAAAGTTAGATGTCAGATATTAGGAGCAGAGTTTGCCATTTCACAGAATGAAGAACATCTTGTGCAACAGATCCCTCTTTTTGGATGTCCGAAAGAGAGTTCTAAATATTACGTAGAATCTGTATTGCTGTGTGTTAGTAAATCAAGGAATGTAAATGCACAAATTCGAAAGAATTTGGAGGCGGCGGAGATGTGGCTTCTGCGACGAATGTTCAGAAATCCCTTGGACAGCCACAAAAAATAACATGGATTGCTTAAAAGATCCTAATGTAACAAGGTCAATATAAACAGCTATAAGGAAACGACAAGCACTCTGTCCTTTTGGTGGGGTTGTGGAAGGGAGAGAGGGGCTTATACAAATATGTAACGACTGGGAAGATCAACAGTAGAAGAGAGAAATTCAGACTTAGAGAGAAGATTAGGGATGGATTGCGACCGGGGCATGGAGGAATATCATCGGTGGAAATGTTTCAGAGGACAAGGAACCGAGATCTGTGAAGACGCATCAACGCTTACGATAGTCGACAGGATACGTGATGGTGATGTACGAAACCCTATGCGAAGCTTGATAAATCGGAATAGAATGTATTTTACCCTGTTTTATATGAAGAAGATTTCAATTGTGACGGTGATCACTAAATATCACAGTGACTACCGCCACAAACGAATCAAACAAAGCCGTCGAAGCTAAAGGTCGCAAGTCAAGTCGCTGGACACAGCCCCAAGTCGAGTCGCAAGTCGTTAATTAAGCCATTAAAGTGCACTCGAGTGACTCTACAAGAGCATTATTTTACTAGTTCTTCTTTATGGAGCAGAATGCTGGAGAGTTGACCAGAAAGGGTGCACACAAGCTACTCACCTTCCACCATACATGTCTACGTAGAATTTTCATATTTTTCTTGCCAGATACAATCTTAAACACTAAACTACTTCAAGTCACGAACCAAGAAACTCTAGACAAGAGAGGATGGAAATGGCCTGGCCACGTTATGAGAATGAATTCTGCTATACCTACCAAAACAGCTCTCACATGGACACCAGAGGGAAAGAGAAAGAAGGGGCGCCCAAAAACAACATGGAGAGCAACGATGGAGAGTAACCTGAATGCGGCATCTTTGACATGGAAAACTGCACTGAAGATTGCACAGAACAGGACAGCATGGAAAGTCGTCTCTGAAACCTCATGTGCCACTAAGCATAAAAGAGAATTGATGATGATGATGACGTGTCTAAATCGAGCCACTCAAGTTTCGACCTTGTTTCTAGTACAGCTCCTGTACTGATAGAAAGCGTTTAATTTAAATATTATTTTATATAATATTTTTATTTGGGACTGACCAATTTTATTTTAACAGTTAAATGTGTGAAGTGACATTATTTACAATGCAATTTTTTTATATGTCAAACAGGCTCGTTTTTGGAACACTCCAGTGATAACAGCGGGGGCCACAGCTATAGATTTCTACTTGTACAAGAATACAACCTACTCTACCCTAACTAGAGTGGGGCCAGCCAATCTACAAGGATGCATGGGTTAGCTAATGTTAAACCACTTATACCTGTAATCGAAGTCAATGTGTGTGTGTGTTTGCACGTGCTGGTAGTTGTGTGAGCTCACCAGCGCTTAAAAGCGCGCACGTCATCATCATCATCCAGTGCCTTGCCGACTGGCGTGGGCGATCATGCCTCTCCATAATTCACGATCTCCTGCTGCATGTATCAGTTCGTGTGCCAACACACCTTCATGCTATGCAACAAGACTGTCAAGAATCTTCTCTCGTTGTCTCCCTCTATCCCTCCTTCCACAGATCTTTCCAGTGGTCACAATGTCTTCTATTTCTCCTCCTATTCTCATAACATGCGCGCACGTATTAGTACCAAACACATTTTAGAAAGGTGTGCACAAAATGTTTGATTTTAGAGCTAGCGTTTTTTTTAACGAGAATAATATGGGGTGCATTATTTCTTACTTGCATCAGAAGCACTGTTCATTGATCATGTGATGGAGGGTTATTTCTTAGTGGGGGGGGGGGGGGGGGGGACATTGAGAATATTGTGACAAATGAAAAGATCAAAAGTAGAAGATTGATAGGCAGACTCAGAGAGATAATAAAGGATCTACTGCGATCATGGCTCGGGAGGATATCATCGCGGAACTGATCCAGGGGCCAAGCAACTGAGATCTGCGGAGATGCGTAAACACCTAGGCAAGTCGACACGGCACATGATGATGGTGATAATAATGATGATGATAATATGATGATGATGATGATGCATCAGAAGCAGACAATATGCATTCTCTGGAAAGAGCTGGAGTGCGTCTTCACAACATAAACGTTGGAGGGGAAGAGAGGCAGGAACAGACTGAAAAAGGAATGTTGAAAAATCTGGCATCATTTAGTGAAACAACATATCCAGGTCCAAGTTCATGTGGAAAAAAAAAAGACCTTTGACGAAACAACAAATCTATCAGCTGTAACTGAAGTAGAAAGTTTTACTCACAAGGAGATGCTGCAAAGGAAATTTTGATACCTACTGGCAAAACTACAACGGTCTTTAAAAGCCTTGACAAAACATGGAGCTCCAAATTATACTTCTCTAAGGAAAAAATACGAATCTTCAGTTCTAAGGTTTTTTCATTTCTAACGTATGTCAGTGAAAGTTGGACAACCATCAATGATATGGATCGTAGGAAACAAGTCAGGAAGCGCACAATAAGAATCACGATGCCACGCACAAAGGCTATAGAAAGTTTATCTATATCCGTGAATAGGTATATTCTCAAAATAATGCACTTGAACACGGAGGGAGTAAACAGTTTTAGAAAAAAAGAACCAAAAACAGTTTGAATAAAGAGCAGATACACGTATGCTGCCTTCAAGAGACTAACCTGAAACAAAATATAGCCTTCAAGATCAGAGGCTACCAATGTTGCCGATCTGACCGAAAGGATTGAAGAAAGACTGGAGTACCAACCCTAGTGAAAGAAAAAAAAATTCATGCCAAACTGAAACATACAAGGAAGGGGCGTAGTATCAGATTCTTAAGCTCAAGACAGAAAACACAGATTTCAGACTAATCAGCTATTACTGTCCGAGCGACCGCTTCCAGACCTGGCTACAATAGTAGCAAATGAAATAAGGATTCTGTGTGAGATTTCATAAATGAGAAAGAGAAAGCTGGGGCTACGATCATATGGATCATAAGGGAGAGAACCCGGAGGACTGGCAGGATGAAAACAAATTTATAAGCCAACCGACCCACCAACCTTTTACTGAAGCATGGCATACAAGCTCTACACCAGACATAGCCTTGTTATTCAGCAAACATGGAATGGGATATTACTAGAACTGTCTGGAAACAACCAGGAGGCAGTGATCAACGCCCAGTCTTTCTCACGATAGAAAAACCTCTCTGTAAGAAAGGGCAGCACTCTACCAAGATGAAATTACAAGAAGGCAGACTGGAAATGTATCAGCACCTTACAAGTATTTAAGTTAAGATTATAAAAACATGAAACAATGCAGGCAAAGTAGTAGAAGAGTTCCGCAAATGTATATTGCAGGCAGCAGTGGAAACAATATCAAGAAGTGAGCGTGGGGAATATAAACCATACTGGAATTGTGATCTAGAACAATTGCACATTGATATGGAAACCGAAAAAAAGGAAAGCTGAAACCAGGATTTGTCAAAAGCTGTTCAACAAATACCAACATGCAAAGGTCAATTTTCAAAGAGCGATGCTGTGGGCTACAAGGGCTTGCTGGAAAAACAAATGTCTCAATACTTTGAAAGAGACACAAGGAAGATGTGGAAGCTGGTAAAACGAAATAACAGAGAGAGAGAGAGAGAGAGAGAGAGAGAGAGAGAGAGGAGAGAGAGAGAGAGAGAGAGAGAGAAAGAGAGCATAGGGAGAAAAGCAAATACTGCAATATATGCAGAAGGAGCTATCCTAACAAGAAAACATGTGGCTGATCACTTTGCAGATTTATTAGCTGAAGACAACATTGATGTCAGTCCAGAGAAACAGCGAAAGGTTCGAGAGAAACGACAACACTCAAGACAAAGGGATATAACTTCTGAGGAAATGAAGGCGCCAATTGCGTCTTGCGAGTTCGAGTTAGCAATATTGAATCTGAAAATGGGAAAAGTCGCCTGGAATCGATGGCACAACCAACGAAATGATCAAGGTCATATAGACAACAGCGAAAACAAAACTGCTGCAGATTTTTAAATAATTGTTGGGCCAGTGGCCAGGTTCCCCATACATGGAGAGAAGCAGCCATGATACCTTTCCTAAAACCAGAAAACGACAGTGCCGATGCCTCCAGCTGAAGACGAATTAGCCTTATCAACTGTCTCTGTAAAACAGTGGAACGCACTGTCAACCTAAGACTTAAAATGGTACATCGCAATGAAAACATTTTCACGTCGCAGCATATGACTTTAGACAGTGCTACTCTACAAAAGACCAGACAACAACTCTCAAGAAACTGAAGGTTCCTTCCAGGAAAAAAATGTAGTGCTTGTGGCATAGATAGATTTTAAGAAAGCTTTTCATAATATCTGGAAAGAAGGTCTCATAAAGAAACTGAGAAACTACGAAGTAAATGAGTATATGTACAGATGGGTGAAAGCGTACTTGTATAGCAGACGAACCCGAGCACAGATAGATGGACTCAAGAGCAAGAAAGTCTTGCTGCCCAGTGGGGTTCCCCAAGGTGGTGTCCTGTCCCCGACACTGTCTCTAGTCTATATCAACCACCTAATTGCTGAGCTACCCCATGGTAATAATGCTGCAATGTATGCTGACGACTTGGTACTATAATTAATAAATCAATATGCAACAGTGACCACTAGACTGCTAAAAAGTTCCAAAGATGCAATGGTTGCATGGGCTGATAAATGATGTGTCAGCATCAGCATAGACAAGTGTAGCACAACGCTCTTCACCCCCCCCCCTTCCTTCCATCACCATAAAAAAAAAAAAAATCAGTCGTCATAATGATAATGAAATACAATTAAGAAAGGATAAGGAGCCCATATACCTCGGAATAATGTTTGATGATAGGTTAACATGTAGAAAACACACCAACAAGGCAGCAACCAAAGCCAGAAGAAAGATAGCTATTCTATTAAAAATAAGTGGAACAACATGGCGCGCAAGTGGGAAAATACTTAGGAAGTTTATCTACATAGTGTACAATCACACCTTGAACACGGGTCTACTTCATGAAGTTCAGCATCAAAAACCAAACATCAAAAGTTAGACAAAATGCAAAATCAGGCGCTCAGAGTCCAACTGGCGGGATTAAATCAACACCTATAGCTGTGATGGAAAAGAACATGATTACCCAAACACTGAGAGAACGAAGAGACACAAAGTTTGTAATACAAGCAGAAAGGTTTCTTAGCTTGCCTGAATACTCCATTTTTTTTTTACTGAAAGGGTTATTATTGCATGCTTCTTTTTTTCTTTTCTAATTCAGAATTTATTGAAGCAATTCTTGCACACCATCAATGGAGAAGGTTTAAGGCTCTCTACAACTCAGTGGGACAAGACGACAACCTTTTCGCCTTTAGTCATCTCCTGACCGAGTATCTCCATTACCACATGAGCTATGTTTACCCTAAGATATCCATGGTAAGTGCTGCTTCGGTGACGATGTTTCTGGTTCATGTTTATACACATTTTCTAGTAACTGATGTACACGCTGAAATGCTATAGAAAGATTCTCAGAATATTTTGGACAAAGAAAATGAGAAATATTGACATCTTAAAAGATCTGAACATCAAGGGAGATTGGCTAATAAACAGCAGCCTTTCTCAAAAGCTGAAATATTGTTGGCATATCATGCGCTACGACGGATTTGAAAAAAAGTATTGCAGAAGGCATGGTACCAGGAAGGAGGGGCAGGGGCCGACTGACACGAAGATGGGCACAGGATATAAGTGACTCCTTGAGTGTTAAAGTACATGAGGCGGGAGAACTGGAGAAAGACCGAGTTTTTTTCAGGCAGACTGTGATTAGAGCGACGTTACTGCAAAGGACCTGCTACATGATGATGATGATGATGTACACTTACTCAGAACACTATATCGTGTATTTTAGACTAGATAATACAGGTTTGACAGTTCTAGATGTTTTGGGTTCGTTACAAGCATCAGAAAGGCGGGAAACCAAGTCTTACTGTCATGTGGGGTAGGATATTATTAAAGAACCGTAAAGACGGATGGCGTGATGTTGATCACATCACTCACCAAGTGCCGATTGGTCTATCAAATATAGGCCTAGCCCTGTTCGTTACTGACTTTGGTGTAGTGTGAGGTTACTTTCCGAAATCCCTGAAAGATGCGTATAGGTGTGGGGGGGGGGGGGGGGTGTAATCGCCCTAAATTGCACTTGTAATTCCTAAGGAACATATCTTGCGTTCATAGGTTCCTAACTAGAAGCCCAATGAAGGCAAGATGCGCAGATTTAACGTCTCTCTTGACTATCCCTTGGCCTCTGATGCTAAACTCCCTGGGGCTCAAAGAGTTAAGTGACTTTGGCGTTGTGGTGATGATGTCTAGAGCAAACATGTCAAACTAAGGGTCCAATGAGGCTCATGTAGGTCACATTTCGTCGTCATGAGGGTTGAAGTTGTCTTGTAACAAATAGAGGTTAAATGTTGAATTAAGAATCGATATCATGGCACTCGGAACACCCCATACGCCCTTCATCCCCATCTTCGGCAGCAAACAAAGGTGTAATAAATACATACGTCTAGGCTATCGTCACAAATACTTTAATACCCCAGAGATTGTTAACATGTAATAAGGGACGAGATTCAGCAACAGATTCATTGCAATTCACGCCTATTTGATGTGATTATTATTCATATGACTCTACTCTGCATAAAAAAGTGCACAGGGATTCTTTGCGTAAAATAATGGTCACAGCTTCTTACAAGAAAGCATAGGATATGATTCCAGAATTCAAGAATGAAGGTGGAAACAGTTACATCCTCTTACTGCTGGCTTGAAACCCAAATGAATTCACATAATAAATGCAGCAAGCATTCTTAGAAAGGTGGTGAATGACATGTTAGATGCAAAATGTTTAAATTTCCTTGTCCGGGGTATACAGGTGTGTTGGGAAAGAAACACTGAGATAAACTGGCTGGTGTAGTACCACTAGATGGTCAATTGATGCATGGCACGCTAGAAGTGGTCAAAGCCTTTTAGAGGCATGTGAACAATGCGGAAGCAAGAAAGGACTTTTGCGGTCTGAATATATATATATATATATATATATATATATATATATATATATATATATATATATATATTACATACATACACACACACACACATACATTGTTGGCACCTCACTGTTACAGGGATAAATGGTATTCACATCCCATGGCGATGGCGAGTGTGAATAGCAAGACGAGTTTGAGTTATAAAAAGTCTTCCACAATTATTGCATGTATGTATGTATGTATGTATGTATGTATGTATGTATGTATGTATGTATGTATGTATGTATGTATGTATGTATGTATGTATGTATGTATGTATGTATGTATGTATGTATGTATGTATGTATGTATGTATGTATGTATGTATGTATGTATGTATGTATGTGTTGTATGTATGTATGTATGTATGTAATGTATGTATGTATGTATGTATGTAATGTATGTATGTATGTAATGTATGTATGTATGTATGTATGTATGTATGTATGTATGTATGTATGTATGTATGTATGTATGTATGTATGTATGTATGTATGTATGTATGTATGTATGTATGTATGTATGCATGGATGCATGCATGCATGCATGCATGCATGCATGTATGTATGTATGTATGTATGTATGTATGTATGTATGTATGTATGTATGTATGTATGTATGTATGTATGTATGTATGTATGTATGTATGTATGTATGTATGTATGTATGTATGTATGTATGTATGTATGTATGTATGTATGTATGTATGTATGTATGTATGTATGTATGTATGTATGTATGTATGTATGTATGTATGGTATGTATGTATGTATGTATGCATGCCTTGTATGCATGCATGTATGCATGCATGTATGCATGCATGTATGCATGCATGTAATGCATGTATGTAATGCATGTATGTAATGCATGTATGTATGTATGTATGTATGTATGTATGTATGTATGTATGTATGTATGTATGTATGTATGTATGTATGTATGTATGTATGTATGTATGTATGTATGTATGTATGTATGTATGTATGTATGTATGTATGTTATGTATGTATGTATGTATGTATGTATGTATGTATGTATGTATGTAATGTATGTATGTAATGTATGTATGTAATGTATGTATGTAATGTATGTATGTAATGTATGTATGTAATGTATGTATGTATGTAATGTATGTATGTATGTAATGTATGTATGTATGTAATGTATGTATGTATGTAATGTATGTATGTAATGTATGTATGTAATGTATGTATGTATGTATGTATGTATGTATGTATGTATGTATGTATGTATGTATGTATGTATGTATGTATGTATGTAATGTATGTATGTAATGTATGTATGTATGTATGTATGTATGTATGTATGCATGTATGTATGTATGCATGTATGCATGCATGTATGTATGTATGTATGTATGTATGTATGTATGTATGTATGTATGTATGTATGTATGTATGTATGTATGTATGTATGTATGTATGTATGTATGAATGTATGTATGTATGTATGTATGTAGGTAGGTATGTAGGTAGGTAGGTAGGTAGGTAGGTAGGTAGGTAGGTAGGTAGGTAGGCAGGTAGGTAGGTAGGCAGGTAGGTAGGTAGGTAGGCAGGTAGGTAGGCAGGTAGTAAGGTAGGTAGGTAGGTAGGTAGGTAGGTAGGTATGTAGGTAGGTAGGTAGGTAGGTAGGTAGGTAGGTAGGTATGTAGGTAGGTATGTAGGTAGGTATGTAGGTAGGTATGTAGGTAGGTAGGTAGGTAGGTATGTAGGTAGGTATGTAGGTAGGTATGTAGGTATGTATGTAGGTATGTATGTAGGCATGTATGTAGGTATGTATGTAGGCATGTATGTAGGCATGTATGTAGGTATGTATGTAGATATGCATGTATGTATGCATGTATGTATGCATGTATGTGTGCATGTATTTACGTTTTGAGCTCTCAATTTAAATTCGATTCCAGCATTGTTACATTATAATGTTAACGTGTCAACGAGGTCAAATAAAAGCTAGTACAGCAGTAACATACGTTTTCGATCTCTTCATCTCACACAGGACATTTACAAACTGGACTCCAGATTGTCCGACGATATCGGGGATGTGTTAAAGAAGGAGGTGTCCACTGGCTTCTCAGGTAGGAATGTAGAAAATATACTGGTAAGGGACATGAAATGGCCACTGACCCTTAAAAGGTAAGATTGAGCCCAGTTGTGCTGTGACTGGATGCACATTTGTATTCTGGCCTGTGTGTACAATCCGGTCAACTTAAATGGACATAATGTTGTATTATTAAACAGACGATAAGGAAAACTACAGCTGCATTTTCCGATGTACTAAATGTGGTGAATGTTATGTTTTTAAGCGGGGTTGCTGGGGAAGGAGAGGGGGGGGGGGGTGTTGGGAGCCGGTGGCGCACTTAACGGCGGAGAGAGAGGGAACTCATGTTGTGTTTGCCGCTGTAAATTTATGTTATGTTAGCTGCGTATCCTTTACTGGATGCGAAAGAACCAACCCTAGCAGCCCCTGGCTGTTTTGTGGTGTCTCTAGGCAAATTTACGTCCATTAGTTTGCCATGGTCGGTCAGCTTTCTTGATAAGACTGTCGAAATCAACGCAAGGCGCGTGACCGGCAGCTGGGATCGAACCCGGCATCCCTGCATTACGAAGCGTTGGCATCGACTTAGCCACTGAGCCGATTGCTGTAAATTAGGGGAATGAAATAGTTTTTTTACCCACCTAAGAAAAGGGAAACAAATGTTGATTTTACCGGCGTCAATTATTAGAATCAAATGCTGTTTAAACGGCTTCAGTAAGGAGTTACAAATGTTTACTATCGTTAAGTTAGCGGATGCATACTAACCTGTGACGGGAGCTATACCCCAACCACACTGGATTTCAGACTTTTTTGTAACCGCGTTGTGGCGTTTTAGCATAAATATGATACATGGCGCTACGGTTGCACAGGGTTTATGGGACCAGTTCTTGTCTCATTATCATCCTTTACATTTTAGATGTTAAACCTACAGACTGAAATCCTTTATTGGAAAAAACTAATTATTTTATTTTAAAATCCGTGTCTCTTGTCTGCTTCCTTCCTGACCCCACGTGCTTGTGCAAGCTAGTTAGTCAGTCAATTAATAGCAGATTATCCCCATTGCACATCGGACAAATCCATAAGCGGTCGGATCCCATCTTCAGTAAATCCCTCAGCGTGTGGCGACAGAAAGCACGAGTTATGTATTGATTTACTAATCTTTGCTAGAAACTGAAACCTTTAAATGAAATACAAAATGCAAATGATTTTGTCTTTTGTTATACTGTATATCTCAGCACAGAATTCATAAGTTAACCAGTAAAGCTATGACATTTTTATTAACATAATTTGTATTGGCTCTCCCAATGACTGCTGCTTCCACCAGTTTTAAAATAAAGAGATGTACACTATGACAAGTAAAAAGAAAAAAAGTAAAGATCCCTTTTCACGCCTTTCGACGCATCGGGCATATGGGCAGAGCGTCCCATATTTTTACAGACCATCAGCACTCTGAGAGTGTGATATGTGTGTTTCATTTGAAAGGATTCATCTTGTGTGCTTCTTTCTTTATATCTTCTTCTTCTTCTTCTTTTCCAACTTTTATCTCATCGAAGTGTCGGCGGGAGATGTAATGTTCGTTGATAAGCTCTGTTAAGAGCACTATTAAAACTGATCTTCATTTCTGTAAAGCTGTTCTCAATACCATTACTCCATGTTTTCCGAGGTCTTCCACTCGCTCTATACCCGTTGTAACGTTTTAGTGTGGCTCGCTGTGGCGGATAGTACCAGGGCATTCTTGTTAGGTGTCCAAACCACTTCATTTATTGTTCTTTGATAATCTGTAAGACTGGCTTTATTCCTAGCATTCGTCTGATTTCATGATTTCGTATTCTGTCTTTCCTTGAAACTCCTGCAGCTCTTCTAAGGCATTTCATCTCTGTTGTCATAATTTTACGTTCATTGGAGGATGTAAGTGTCCACGTTTGGCATCGATAGCATAGTGTTTCTTTCTTTATATGATGATGTAAATTCAGAAGTAATGCACTTCATGAGATACAGCGAAAGAGCCCAGGCAGGAAAACGTATAACCATTGTTTGTGTCCTGATTATTCTAACTCCCAACTGTTAAAGATTGTTTTGAAACTACTGTATGAAAATGAAAAATTGCCTGATTAATCCATGCAGTGGCTAAAGTTAGTTAGATGGGTTATCATCATTGCACTCCGGACATGTCCATAGGGGCTCAGATCTTCCCCTCAATATGAACCCCAAAGTCCGATGGCTAATAGTACCAGTTCTATGTTGATTAACAAGTCTTCTGGTGGGTCTGGTGTGTGTTTGGTTTTTTTTTTTTTTTTTTTTGCTATGCCGATCTTAATTTCCAAGTCTTGACGTTCTGGCGAGTGATGTGGATTCACTGCCTTCAAAGTCCTCTATCCTTCCCATTTTTCTGAGGGCTTTTATAATATCAGCATGATCCATAGGCTGACCGTCGGTAGTGATAACGGATCCAGCCAACCTATCAGCTCTTTTATTTCCATCGACGCCTGCGTATCCCGGAACAAAAGTAAAGGTGACTCAACGCACAGTGGACTTCTGTAATGATTCAAGCCATTGTCTTCACACCGAACCTGCCTGAACCCTCCGGATCATACTCATTGAATTTTAGCTACCTGTATAGTGTTCATCTCAGGCGACATTTCTCTTTACCTGAAGTTTTTGGGTCTTCTTAATTTTCACCGACTCATCGTAGTCTCCTGAATCATCTACTCATCATGCCTCATTGAGAGCATTGTCTTTCCTGTACTCATCGTGGCCCTGACAGCAAGTCAATCCTCTCGATCATTCCCTCTTACCCCAGACTGCGCTGGAACAAAAAAAAAGAAAACGAAATCCTGCAAGACGAGATTTCCTCAGCGACTCCAAACATTTTCTATGAATCCATTCTGCCTTGGTCTCCTTAATAAGTATACTCGTGGAATCACTTAGCAAGCACGCTTGGAGAAAATGCTGTGTTTCTAGCCACATCTGTTACAACCATTACACCCACAGTCAGATTACTTGTATTCGAGGCAAAAGCCCAGCTATCTTCTTTTACAGTTTTCCCTCGACCCAGAACCGTGAAAGCCTATGAGTTATGTTTCATTATCATTATCATCATCAGGTGCCTTGTCGGCTGGCTTAAGCGATCATGCCTCTCCATAATCTACGATCTCCTGTAGCATGTATCAGTTCGTGTGCCGACACAGCTTTATGCTATGCAACAAGACTGTCAAGAATCTTCTCTCGTTCTCTTCCTCTATCCCTCCTTCCACGGATTTTTCTAGTGGTAACAACACGTTCTGTTCTCCCTCTTCTCATAACAAGGCCGAAAAAGGATGACTGTCTCCTTCTGATGTCTGTGATCAGTTGTCTTCGCGCTCCCGCCTTTTTCAAAACCTCTTGGTTGTTCTTTTTGACTGCCCAAGGTATTCTAAGCATTCTTCTGTAAAACCACATCTCTAAGGCCTCAAGAAATTGTTTGGCGTGCCCACTGATTGTCCAGGATTCACAGCCATATGTTAAAAGAAGAATTATTTTTCCAACTCCCGAAGACAAGGATATATTGCACAAGATGTGAGTTATGTCTATCTCCGTTTAAAATATGATGGCGTTATGTGATACTGGTAGTGACCATTAAAGAAGTCGAAGTGCTCAAGTTGGTCGTGAATAAAATAAATGAAATAAAAGAACTCATACAACGATGTAAAAGATTCACGTTGAGAAGAGGATCATAAGTTTTGTGCTAAACCCTTGCCATCATCATTAGGTGCCTCGCTGACTGTCATTCTGTCTGTCTGTCTGTCTGTCTGTCTGTCTGTCTGTCTGTCTGTCTGTCTGTCTGTCTGTCTGTCTGTCTGTCTGTCTGTCTGTCTGTCTGTCTGTCTGTCTGTCTGTCTGTCTGTCTGTCTGTCTGTCTGTCTGTCTGTCTGTCTGTCTGTCTGTCTGTCTGTCTGTCTGTCTGTCTGTCTGTCTGTCTGTCTGTCTGTCTGTCTGTCTGTCTGTCTGTCTGTCTGTCTGTCTGTCTGTCTGTCTGTCTGTTATTCCCTTTCTCTTCTCTCTCCTCCTTCTCCACTCTCATCGCCGTTTCAGTTTTCTCTCCTTCATTGTACAGTTTATTTTGTTTACTCTATGAAATCTAATTTGAGATCACACCGTCGTTGCCACTGCTGCGTTTTTCAAATAACTAGGAATTACTGTGTATGGACACAAACGTTAATAGGTTAATGTTCCGGGTACAGTCCTTTTCAACAAACACAACAGCAAGAATTATTTGCTACAAAATATAAAATAAAAAAAACATATAGAAAAATATATTTCATGGCATTCCCTTCGATTTTCTTCCCTTGGAGACGCAACTACTAAAGTTGCTGATTGTGTGCTAGGACTGTAAAAGCGGGATAACTCTTTTTTTTAACCTAAATAATATTCCGTATATTATGTCCCTTAAAATAATTGTGTTGTTGAAGTTGCAAGCTCATTTCTGCTTTATTCTGCGTATTGCTTTACAGTCTATCCCTTTAAATGAGCAAAGGTCCTCAACAAGGCCACATTAGCTCGTTCTGTTCTTTGATAATGATGCTTTTAAAGCAGACACTGTATTGATAATTTTATCAACATCGTCATCATCATCATCGTCATCTGTTTCTTTTTCTTCTTCTTCTTCTTCTTTTTCTTCTTCTTCTTCTTCTTCTTCTTCTTCTTCTTCTTCTTCTTCTTCTTCTTCTTCCTCCTCCCCCTCCTCCTCTTCTTCTTCTTCTTCTTCTTCTTCTTCTTCTTCTTCTTCTTCTTCTTCTTCTTCTTCTTCTTCTTCTTCTTCTTCTTCTTCTTCTTCTTCTTCTTTCTCCTCTTCCTCCTCCTTTTCTTCTTCTTCTTCTTCTTCTTCTTCTTCTTCTTCTTCTTCTTCTTCTTCTTCTTCTTCTTCTTCTTCTTCTTCTTCTTCTTTTCTTCTTCTTCTTCTTCTTCTTCTTCTTCTTCTTCTTCTTCTTCTTCTTCTTCTTCTTCTTCTTCTTCTTCTTCTTCTTCTTCTTCTTCTTCTTCTCTTCTTCTTCTTCTTCTTCT